TTTCACTCCTCTTTCTTTTATAAATTGTCTTGAAATTCAAAATCATCCTAAGATCCTACCTGATAATTTCTAAATAAACAGTTTTTTTTTTGCTAAAAAAGTTAAAACAGTGAAAACTCTTTATGGTATGACTAAAAAACCTTCTCCATAAAATTTTTTTGGAATGTCAACAAAATTGTTAAAAAACAATTTCACTCTCTATACTTGGAAAATTTCTACATCCCTTTGATTATGCTATAACAAAGACTCAACAAACACTATAAGACTAATATGGCACTGCTCACAAAATGACTTGAATGGAAAAGGAATATAAATAATTAGGAAAGGGGAGGGCTTGAATATGGAAAAAAAACATAAGACTTCTCTCATTACAGAAATGACCTATTCTGTTACTTGATGGGATGAAAAAGTATTCGGACATTAAATTAATCTCTCCATTTCCTACAATTTGCAATGGTGCACTTCCTTGGTTAATGATTCATCAAAACATATTCGCATTTATCGAGACATCTTTTGACATGAAAATGAACAAATTCAAAAATATAAAACAGATAATAAAAAAAACAGAGAGAAAAAGAAAAACAGTTTACATTTCAAATTCATTGAGGTTTTATATGGAAATATGAAGATGCCCATGAACGCATAGATGCTTGAGTGGACTTTGCTTTTCTCTCCACACGTGCATCCCCGTAACCTCCTGTTGATGATGAGCTTGAGTTCTTCTTCATCTTCTTCGAATTTCCATTCCTGAACACAGAGTTTAAAAAGCTGGCGAGCTTGCCCCTAGTCGTCTTCACTGGCTGTTTCTCCTTCTCCGAAACACTGGTCGTCTTCACTGTCTTTGGCTTCATTGCGGTGAAACAAGCAGTCTCGTGCTCGAGGAAACATGCTCGGCGGATGCTCGCGAAGTCTTCGTATTTGTCGATGACAGTACGACTCTGTTTCTCGTTCCCGGCGTCCATAGAACGACAGACTTCGTCGAGAATACTGGTAGCAAATGTATATTTATATTTGGTCAGGTCCATTATATATATATCGAGGATTCTTGTTTTTGAGAGAGACAATACTGGTGGCAAAGAGTTGGGGGATTGGTGGTTTTTACAAAGAGAGAAAAAGAAGAAGAAGAAGAAGAAGAAGATTGACGTGAGTAAGATGAAGAGAATTGGTGAGAAAGTCTGAGTTTATATAGGGAAGGAATTGTTGTTCAAAAAATAAAAAAGGCAAGGGAATGTTTTTTTTTTCTTGATCATATAGAATCAAGAAGAAGCAGAGTAGCAGAGTCGTGTGTGTGTGTATGAGTCTACTTTGCTAACCACAAGAGGATCCAAAAAAATGTTCCTTTTTTTGTTACATACATTTCTTTCTTTTTCAAGCACTCGTAAATGAATTAAAAAAAACATTTAGGATAAATTATCAACTCAATTAACAATTTTTAATGATATTAAAAATGTATTTTAATTTCAATTTAGATTGATTACTATATTACTACATTATTCCCTATTATATTATTACTATATTACTATATTTTAAAATTTATTTCCTACTATATTACTATATTATTCCCTTTAAAATTTATTAATATATTACTATATTACTAAATTAAAATTTAAAATTTAATTTGGCTAATCATTGTGTTGTTCACCGACCGTCAATCTCTGCCGAGCGCCAATCACTGTGCAGTTCGCCGACCAGCGACATACCACTTCAGAGTGAGTTTTTTTTTTTTTTTTGAATCTGTTTGTGCTTTGTTGAGATTGAGTTTTTATTTATTTTTTCTTATAATTTTTTATTTTGTTGTTAAGCTTGAATCTGGGGATTTTTTTTCAGTTTGTATACTGCTTGTGGTATATATATATATGTGTGTGTGTGAAATGTAATGTAGTGGTTATATGTGTATTTATTTTTTCTTATAATTTTTTATTTTCTTGTTAAGCTTGAATCTGGGGATTTTTTTTAATTTGTATACTGCTTGTGCTATATATATATATATATATGTGTGTGAATTGTAATGTAGTGGTTATATGTGTGTTTATGAGTGATTTTGTGATGCTGTTAGAAATGGTTGGAAAATTTTGGGTGAAAACAGAATTTTTTTCTAACTTTGGTCTGTTATTTAGGTGGGACACGTGCGCTAAAATTGGCGAGTCAAAGTGGTAACGCGTTCTATGCTGCGTTGTGATTCACGTAGTATATTTGGTTGCACAAAACCATTATTGAGTGAATGGAAAATTGAAGCCAAAGTGTGCTCCATAGAAATGGAGTTTTGGTGGAAAATCCTTAAAGGTTTGGAAAATGACTTGTCCCACATTGATTTGGGAAGTTTTGAGTGGGTTTATAAGGCATGGGATTGGAATTTGGGGTGTGCCCCAAGGGGGTACCCAAGTTTTGTAGAGAGGGAAGATATGAATAAAATGGGCTAGACCCATTGGACCTAAAAAATCACTACACGCGCCCACAGGTGCGTGGTGTAAGGTTGGATTGGGCTTGTCCAGCCCAATACTAATCTTTTTGGGCAAAAAACATTTGAATTCAAATTTATTTTTTGGTAAAATAAAATTTGTCCAATTTAAATTTCAATTTTTGAATTCAAAATTGTTGCACCTCTTCAGAATTTTGTACAGACAGATCCGAATCTGTCCATATTCAAATCCAAAACTGTTTTATCTGTTTGAGATTCAAACCAAATTCGATTATCTATTCAAATTCAAACTGAACAGGTGCTGTATATGTTCAAAATAGATTTGCTACTCGTTGGATTCAAATTGAGCAGCCACCAAGCCACCACTTCACCTATATAAATAGGCAGTCCCTCATTTTGTTTTTTATAACAATTTTCGTATTTCTCCTCTACTAAAATTCTCTACATTTTGCTACATTTAATTTTTGTGAGAAAGAGTATAAACACTTTGTGTGTTCGTTGGGCAAACAATTTGTAATGCTGCTATTGTTTGTTGTTGATCATTTCATCATTGGAGATAGACGTCCATATTCTGAAAGCATCGTAGAGAGAACGAATCTGTCTTAAGGATACAGTGTCAAACACTGGACTTGATTAGATTATTATTCGAAGAGATTAATTAGGTCAGTTAATTCCTTTTCTGTTTTATTTTTATTTATTTAAATAAGATTTTGATTTTATTTTTGTAACAAAATAAAAATCTGTTTATTTATTTATTTATTGGTTTGATTTTTGTAATCAAACATTCTCTCTCCTTTCCTATTTTTCTTTTGCATTCTGTTTGTCGTTTAGTACCCAAATAGAATTAATTTATTTAAATACAGTGAAGACTATCCAACAGATGCCTGTAAATCTATTTTGGGATGGTGTTTAAAATCTTAATTTTGATTTATTGTGCATTTTAACTTTGATCTTTCGATTCTGTAAGCTTAATTATAAATTATTGTATACATTATTTTTACTATTTTTAAAGCAACAAAATTAACATCTCCGCTCCATCACCTCCTACGTGGTATTCTCCCCTCTGTTTTAATGATAATTAAAATACGAATGAACCATGTTAACTTTACAAGGAATGTTGGCGTGATCTCAAAGTTATATAGGGGTTTCATTGTAATTTATCATTGATTTTTACCTGCTAAGCTTTGATTTGATTTGATTTGCAAATTTTTATCTGCCGAAACTCAATTCAATGTTATTATCAGAACTCATAAATATTGATCTAGCAAGACACTGATCTGTGCTTTTATGTCGTCACAATCCTTGATTGAGAAAAGTGTTGATTATGATCCATATAAGATGTCAGATTTTTTTTTTGATTGAATTGAAAAAACATAATTCCAAAAATTAACACTTCCCATTAGTGCTTGATAAACGTACATCTCTACAAATCAAGAAAAGTCGGTCAAGATTAGCATCCATCAAATTTTCAAAACAAAAAATAAAAATTCCACAGCATGGAGCTGAGATGTATTAGAATTTAGAATACATAGGTCCCATTCTTTATGAGTGTCATATCCTGTAGAACCAAAATGTGCTTGTCATTTACCCTCTGAAGTAAATAAGAGATTGATCAAGCTAGATCATCTGTTTTTGTTCTTACAAACCGTGCATACAGTCCGCCCTTACAAAGAAGGTCCACGTGATTGCCCAACTGCATAGATCAGTCATTAGCACACTGAACACTATATTCATAGCAGGAACATAGGAAAAGGGAGAACAGCCTTGCTCTGGGCAAGAAGCATGCTACCATATGGTCAGCAACTTCTGCATTTTTACCAAGGTCAAAAACAAGCACCGAAGCACAAAAACGTGATTTGGTCAAGTCAGAGAAACTACAAGGACAAAAAGAGGCCCATAATGAACTTAATAGAACTAGTAACTAATCCCAACATGTAAGCACAGAAAAAACTCATGTGAGCAAAAAATTTCAAATATCCTTGATCATGAGACATATAATTATCACCATAAATAAGAACCATAATTCCAACAGTAGTGATTAATATTGACATAATAGAAGTGGATCAATCAAATAGCCGAATTCTAAAAAAAAATCATTATTAATAATCCAAGACCATACATATTGATGTATAAAAGTTGATGCTTTGAAATGGCAATATTGCCCAATCTTCGATATTATATCTGGTCTCAAATAGATTATAACAACAGAAATGAGGGTTCATGTAGCCAGCTGCTTAAAGAGGGGGTTGTAATTGAATTTGAGTTGGATTGGTAAAATAACGAGTTCAATTCTTTACCATTGTTTAAAGTTCTCTCTGTTACTATGGGGAAGTGCCCAGAACTTCATATGGTGCACACACTTTACATTTCCAACTGTAGATGAAGTTAATCGAAATACAGGAAAAGACCTTACCTCAACAACTCGACCACCATCCATTACCATGATATTGTCAGTGGCTTATATAGTAGATAGCCTGCAAAAGGCGTGTCACAAAATCACATATTGAATCTCACTATCAAGTAGGAAAACAAGTGCCACAAGAAAACTTACCTATGTGCTGTGACAATGACTGTTCTTTTTACTCTACAGTCATTTCTGAAAGCATGAAGAAGCCTCTAAAAAATACAGCAAATGATGTATCAACAAGTACAGTAATCTAGTAAATTTATTTATTTATTTTGTCTACTGATTTTCTGGATGATATTTTAATAGTGGAAGAAATAAATGTGCTTACTGCAATGCAATATTCATTTTCTGCATCCAGAGCACTGGTGGCTTCGTCAAGGATTAGAATAGCAGGGTCTCTAACAATGGCCCTACCAATAGCAATCCGCTGCTTTTGACCCCCACTGAGCAAACCATCATCAACGATGGTCTCATAACCATTGGGAAGAGATGAGATAAATTCATGAGCATTGGCTTGTTTCGCAGCCCATTCTACATCTTGCTGTTTGATGTCTCTTGAGCAACCATAACTAATGTTTGATTTCACATCCATGTGAAAAAGATGGGGTTCCTATTCAAATAGAACAGTTACGGAACAATATTGTAGCAAGTTTTCAAGCATTTCTTGCAATTATATCAGTCTAACCTGTCCAACAAATCCAATTCTGTCCCGCAACCACCTAATGTCCAACTTTCTAAGAGGAAAACTATCAACCAAAATCTGTAATTAAATGGCACTTCTATATGTAAGATCCAGCTAGCAAACATCAAAGTCACAATTTTTTAGACATGCAAGGTGTCTCATGCAAAGATAGTTGTGAGACTTGTGAGAGAACAATTAAACGAAGTTTGGTATAACAATAAGCGGGTGGAAAAACTCCCCACCACTCCTGTTCCATATTGTGAGATAATAGAAAGCAACCCATGAACAGATGCACCAAATTTGGGGGTGATCGTTTGACCTGAGCACCAGCAATCATGAATTGGTGTATAAATTCAAGGCAATTTACGTTTAACTGGGGAAAAAAGTATCATGGAGTTCCAAACATTTTATCTGGTGTCAAACATACTTCACTGGGGACATCGTAGGACACGTTTAAGAAATGTTTGAAACTCGCTTAGAGAGCACATCAGTGGTTTCACCATATAGAAACTTATAAACTAATGGGTGAAATAATAGATTAGTAGTTCCTCCACGTAATCATTTATTCAATTCCAAGATCATGACATAATACGTGTGTAAACATTGCTTACCTCTCCCCTGGTTGGCTCATAGAGACGAAGCAAAAGATTCACTAATGTGCTTTTCCCACTACCACTGAGACCAACCTTGGCAAGATTAGGAAATGGAAATGCAGTTTGTACTCAAATTTTAGTTCCAGAATGAAACTACAGTAAATAAGCAATGTCATTTCTTACAATTGCCACCATTTCATTAATCCGTACAGAAATGTTTACGTGCTCTAGAACAGGTACCTGTTCAAATGTCAGAGACTAGTGGGTGAGTTATTTCCATCAAAAAGAATAAACACAAGGAATAGTTAAGATCAACAGGAACCTTAAAGGGAGTGATTAAGAAAATCCTATGAAGGTGCTATAAGTCTTCAAAATTTATTTCATGACATATTCATATGATAAAGGTCCTGAGTAAATTAAGAGTCCTGTGTTACCTCAATAAAAATATCTTATCAAATGGAAAGGTTTGGCTGATGTGACCAGGCACATTCATACTGAGCCTAACAAAGACAAATTAACAGGAAAAACTTTTTCTAAATATAAGAAGTTTATTGAATAATAAAACAAGTTATTACAGCGTGAGATGTGTTAAACGGATAAATGCAAAGTAGTATAATCAGTATAAGTTTAATTGCTAGTGAATCCTTATCTGAAAGAATATTGTACTTCTCAGAAATCTAAGATACATGTCATTTTCATTCCTGTGTTACATTGAATGCAATGGATGTAAAACCTACAAAACTAATCAAGAAGAATATCAAACAGGTATACTCACGAATAGGAGAAAGCAAATTCAGCAAGTTTCTAACTGGAGCTGCTCTGGTTATCTACAGAATCCGCATGACAAACATCTACTTCTATGAAAAGCAACCTATGAAACTATTTATCAATATGAACGGTTTAGATAGTCAAGCACTTTTACCACCTAGAGAAAACAAAATGAATATCATCATAGCCTCCGTAATACACAGTTCAAGGATGAGAAATACCATTGACCTTGAAGGATAGTAAAAGGATACATTTACAAATTCAATTTTCCCCACAAGCCTCTGCAACTTCGTTCCTGTGCACAGAAAGATGCACAGTTGACAACAATCATGTAAAAAATTTATTTGTTCCTCAGAAAAACAGTGTACATATATTTACACAACTACAAAATATTGTTCTAGTGAATCTCTATTTTAAGAAATACTAGAAAAAGGTCTTGCCTTTTGATAAGAATTGGTCACTGGGCATGAGAACCATTAGCTGGAAAACCTTTTCAGTTGCTCCAATAGCCTGAAGCAATGATGATAAATTGTCTTCCAACCTCCAGGCTGCATAAATCAACCACTCACAGTATAATACATACTTCACAAGTTGCTCAGCTGATACATGACCAGTCAGAATCGAAATTCCTCCTAACAGGACAGCAAAAACCAACAAATTTAGTTAGAGAAATAAAGTGGACGTTAACTACAATCAATAAGGTTACATTTCACATGAACCACAGTATACAATTTGCAGCATCTGATCAAGTGATTTACTTATGATTCAGTTCAGCCTTAAAATTGTTGAGAAGAGCCAAACCTGTGTTGAACGATACAGAGTGTTGAAACTCAGATACCAAGATCCATAAGCAATACTTTCTCGAATGCCTATATAAACTAACTTGTCCAGCCATTGATTGTACCTACAATATAATATAGGATATGCCCTGTAATTCTCCTATGATTGCTCATTAATATACATTCATATGAGATTTGGGTGTCATTGTAAACTTAGCGGAAGAATTCCAGTTAGAATTATTACCTTCCAAGTCCTTCTTCGATCCATAAGCAACACTTTCTCGAATGCCTATATAAACTAACTTGTCCAGCCATTGCTTGTACCTACAATATAATATAGGATATGTCCTGTAAGTCTCCTATGATTGCTCATTAATATACATTCAGATGAGATTTGGGTGTCATTGTAAACTTAGCGGAAGAATTCCAGTTAGAATTATTACCTTCCAAGTCCTTCTTCTTCTGTTCCATAAACTCGAACAGTTCTTATTAAAGAAAAAGTCTCTTGAGCAGCCTAAAGTTTAAGAGGGAAAAAAACAAAAAAGGACTATCATCCTAACACTTGAAAATAAAAAAAATAAAAAAAAACTTTAAAAGAATATAGAATTTTAGGAAACAATATAGATCAAATTTCTGCTATTACCTCGTTTGCAGAAGCACTGTACTCTTGGGTAAATTTAGCTGCTTTCTTTTGGAACCTATCAGATATAAAAAGATTTCAGTAACACTTTCCAAAAACCATAAACTGTTAAAGGCACCCCTATGAATAGATAGTAAATTTTTTTAAAGCAACTGTTAGTGTGTGCCCTTGGGGCACATGTTAAGAAGCTTAAAAGGATTATACATTCTGCATGAAAGTGCAAGTAACAAAGAATGTACAATCCTTTTAAGCATTCTTAACATGTGTCTTACTCGCACATGCCAACAAAACCCTTCATTTATAAGCATGCATGTTCATGATCATTATGATTTTTGGCCACTGTTAGTATCCCTTCAACTGGCAGTCACACCAGTTAAGTCTTTCATTTCACCATTGGATTTGATTTACAAAGAACTTTGATATTGTGATACATGTATTGTCACTCTGTGCCCTTACTCTTTCTAGGAATATCAAAAATTGGAAGAAAACTTCGTAAGTGAAAGGCATGAAAAGCAAAATGATACAACTTACTTCAAGTATAACAAGGAAGCTACCTACTTCATTTAAAGAAGCAATCCACTATGAACAAGAAGAAAGGACCTATATTCTTTGGTGAAATAGAAAGGACCTATATTCTTTGGTGCAATAGACAGAAGATTGACCCTAGCCCTGGTTTAGCCAGAATCTGCATTGAAAGTTATTAAATAAGCTAAATATATCTCTGCCTTTACACACAGTGGATGTCTAGAGCACCCAAACATATCGGTGTAGACACCCCATTTTTGACCGTCCTCAAGACTTGGACGTCATCGTTTGAAGACTCGATGATCATCCATGCTCGTGTTCATTTTGAGTTCCCGAAAGTCTCGGCTGCGCGCCTTGCCTTAAGACCTCTCAACTTGTCTGTTTTGTGCTTGGTTGTGGACCAAGGACTTGTGGTTTTGCTTCTGAGGGAAGAGGGTAGCTTGTTGGCCAGCTCTACAACCCATCGGCCAAGGCTTGTGTCGATCGGCCTCTCCTTCTTGCCATCGGCCATAAGTGTTGGCCGATCGGCACTCTTTTGGGTCGATCGGCCATTTTGTTAGTCGAGACCCCTTTTTCTGCTTTTGCAGATCTTTTTCTTCCAGCTGGTGCCAGCTGTTGGCCACTTGGTGTATCCTCCATACACGTTTATGGATGGATTCAAACCAAGTCCTAGCTTGTTCAACAAGCTTGGGACTTGATTTTCTATAAGAAGGGAGGCCCCTCTCCCTTTCCAGAGGTTCTGAAATCTGAGATACAAGAGTCATAACTCTCTCTCTCTCTCTATATTGTGTTGGTTTGTGCCTTAAAGTGTAACTTCTCTTCATTTTTGCACTACAACACCTAGCAATACACCACCATCTTTGAGCTGAGATTCTTGGGAGTGTTATTTGAGCTCTGAAAGTTGGTTTTTGCCTCAGAAGCTGCTGGTTTTGAAAGTGTGCTTCAAGGGTGAGTGTATTCCCCTTTTAAGCCTTTGTTTGTATACCATATTGGCCATCTTTGCATATTGTTTTAGGCCTTGCTTTCAACTGAAAATAGTCTTGTTTCTAAGTGTTTAACATGTTGGTTTGAGACCTCTTTGGTGTTGGGGGTGGTCTACCCCCTTTGGAGCCTTGTTTGGCCTTGTTTTGAGCCATCTTTTTAGGCCTTTGTTTTAGCCTTTGTTTGGCCTCTTCACCACTGAATTCCAGAGGAATTTCAATGGTGGAAATGGTGTTTTGAAGCCTCAAATAGGAGGGGGTTGTCTCCCCTCCCCTTCTCTTGTATGCTTGTGTTGATGGCTCACCAAGTTGGCATGTTTTTCTACCTCTTTGTGGCCCCATTTCAACATGTCTTAGGCTTTGTTTTGCCATGATATAGCACTGTTTTGGGCTGGTTTGGTTGTCTCTTGAATGCCTCACACATTTGTAGTGTAATGCTACTTGCTAACCTAACATGCTCTATACTTTTGATCATCATTCTAGCATGATTTTGGCTCAACTCAAAGAAACTTTTACTCATGTTTCAGCATGCTTAAGCTCTGTTTGAAGTTTCTTTAATCATGCATGCCATGCTTTGTATAGCCATAATGCATTTTTGCTTACTAGCTTTGTGTATTGAGTCCACTAGTATGCGTTGCTTAGGCTATTTGCATGGTCTAGCATCATTTCTACCATGATTTCAGTGCATGCTTCATGGCCATACACTCATATGTGTCACTCTTTCAATGCCTTTGGAAGGTTGTTCTTTATGTCTTAAATATGAGCCATTATGTATGCCTTATTGCCTAAGCTTGTGGGCTGCCATATCAGTGCATTTTTTATGTTATTTTGGCATGTCATAACTCTGATTTTCGTTGATATAGTCACCTCGTGCTTGGTTTTGGTGGGTGTAGTGTAATCTCCTTCATTGGCCTTATATGCGTCATGTTCTGTGCTCACCATGCTAGCTTGTTTTGGCCTCATTCCATGCATGTTTTGGCCTTATTTAGATCTGCCTTGGGACTGTTTTGAGTCACCTTGGCCCTTTGGGGCTTGCTTGGTATAGCCATGGTGTAAGTTCCTTGGCTAGCTTTAGACTTTAAGCCCACTAGCATGCTTTGTTTGTCATGTGTGCATGATCTAGCCTCCCTTGGAATGTGATTTCACAGCCTCTTTCACTGACACACTCTCACCTTTTTCACCCTTTCCATGTGCTTGAGAGTTGGTGCCTTCATGCTTTGTTTGTGAACCAATTGGCATGCATGCTTGCATATACTTTTGGACTCCATTTTCAGCATACTTTGGCTATTGTTTTGGCATGCATGAAGCTTATTTGTGGTGGGTTTGGTCCTTTAAGTGTTGCATTACATAGCCCTTGCCATTGCATGTTGTTGCATGCTCATGTTGCTTGTATTTTTGTTGTTGCATGTTCATGTTGTTTATATGTTGCATGTTGCATTATCTTTGCATCATTGTTGCATTGCATTGCATTGTGTTTGGGTCGGATGTTGATCCAAACATGGGGAACGAGGGGCGTTTCATACATGAAGTGATGAAACGCACCTCATTCCTTAGGTCACCGACACCTTTGATCATGCATGATAAGGTGGCGGTTCATTGAGTCTTATGTGGTATTTGTGTGCATTCATCGTCATTGATTTGTGCAACTCGGCCTCTTTGGCCATCATGCATTGAGATGCGTGATTGATGGCTCGAGAGTCGAGCACTACACTCCTTTGAGCGTTAAACATGATAAGGAGCGTGGCCACGCACACATTTTCTTGTAAATACACTGCCATGTCTCTGTTAGTGCTCTGTTGCAGCAAAAGGAGAATCTGCAGGAAGCAGTGGCCAACTGGCCATCAGAGCTGCCGATCGACCATTTAGTCTGCCGATCGACTATCAAAATTGGTCGATAGTCATAAACACTGGCCGATGGCCATTCCTCTTGGCCGACTACCCCTCAGATGGTTCGTAAGGTAGGTCAGAAGCATCATAGAAGCTGGCACAGTTTTCAGAGGTCTAAAACAGTGCAAACAGAGGCATCATGAGGCACGGTGGTGGATTTCTGGGAGGACGCGTTTCAGTAACACTTTCCAAAAACCATAAACTGTTAAAGGCACCCTTATGAATAGATAGTCAAATATTTTAAAGCAATTGTTAGTGTGTGCCGTTAAGAAGCTTAAAATGATTATACATTCTGCATGAAAGTGCGGGTAACAAAGAATGTACAATCCTTTCGAGCATTCTTAACATGTGCCTTAATGGCACACGCTAACAAAACCCTTCATTTATAAGCATGCATGTTCATGATCATTATGATTTTTGGCCACTGTTAGTATCCCTTCAACTGGCAGTCACACCAGTTAAGTCTTTCATTTCACCATTGGATTTGATTTACAAAGAACTTTGATATTGTGATACATGTATTGTCACTCTGTGCCCTTACTCTTTCTAGGAATATCAAAAATTGGAAGAAAACTTCGTAAGTGAAAGGCATGAAAAGCAAAATGATACAACTTACTTCAAGTATAACAAGGAAGCTACCTACTTCATTTAAAGAAGCAATCCACTCTGAACAAGAAGAAAGGACCTATATTCTTTGGTGAAATAGAAAGGACCTATATTCTTTGGTGCAATAGACAGAAGATTGACCCTAGCCCTGGTTTAGCCAGAATCTGTATTGAAAGTTATTAAATAAGCTAAATATATCTCTGCCTTTACACACAGTGGATGTCTAGAGCACCCAAACATATCAGTGTAGACACTCCATTTTTGACCGTTCTCAAGACTTGGACGTCATCGTTTGAAGACTCGATGATCATCCATGCTCGTGTTCGTTTTGAATTCCCGAAAGTCTCGGCTGCGCGCCTTGCCTTAGGATCTCTCAACTTGTCTGTTTTGTGCTTGGTTGTGGACCAAGGACTTGTGGTTTTGCTTCTAAGGGAAGAGGGTAACTTGTTGGCCAGCTCTACAACCCATCGGCCAAGGCTTGTGCCGATCGGCCTCTCCTTCTTGCCATTGGCCATAAGTGTTGGCCGATTGGCACTCTTTTTGGTCGATCGGCCATTTTGTTAGTCGAGACCCCTTTTTCTGCTTTTGCAGATCTTTTTCTTCCAGCTGGTGCCAGCTGTTGGCCGCTTGGTGTATCCTCCATACACGTGTATGGATGGATTCAAACCAAGTCCTAGTTTGTTCAACAAGCTTGGGACTTGATTTTCTATAAGAAGGGAGGCCCCTCTCCCTTTCCAGAGGTTCTGAAATCTGAGATACAAGAGTCATAACTCTCTCTCTCTCTCTATATTGTGTTGGTTTGTGCCTTAAAGTGTAACTTCTCTTCATTTTTG